AGAGAGAGAGAGAGAGAGAGAGAGAGAGAGAGAGAGAGAGAGAGAGAGAGAGAGAGAGAGAGAGAGAGAGAGAGAGATGTAAGGACCTGCCAAAACACGGACTGAGAACACAGCTGATTTCTAAGTTTTGCCGCTGGAATGAATGCCTTGCTGAGATTCCTGCTTTCTGCTGATGTTTCTAAGTCTGTGTGTGTGCGTGCTTGCTGGTCTGCGTGCTTGTCTGAGTGCTTGACGGCTTGAGTGTGTGTGTGACCCGCAAGGGTACTTGCTTGCTTGGGAGGCGTGTAGGGACGGTACTTACCTGTGGCCGTGACATTGAGGGTTGCAGAGGGAAAACACTAAAGTGGCGGGAATAGGCCCGGGACACTTAGAGCAGCGGGGAAAAACATTCAAGTAGCAGGCAGGCCGGTACCACACCAGTAGCGGTAGATGTGTCGGGTACTCGAGGCCAAGCAGCAGAAGAAAAAAGTTGGCATTCTTAGAGGCCCGGTAGTTGTAGGCTAGGTCTAGGCAGCTGCCAGTCCAAGTAGCCTGAGTCTAGGGCGTGTACAGGGGATATCAGAGTCTGTAATGATGTTTCCCTCCGAAAGGGAGGAGGTACCGGTTGCTTGGAGGCCGCGCGGCCTGGAAGTCCCCACCCAAGAGGCAAGTAGGCCACTAAATCTCCAGGAGGAGCGAAGTGCTCCTCATTTCCTGCGTGCAAGTTTGGCGACACGCTGCTGGAGCACTGGCTGGAGCAGTGCTGGTTGGAGTAGTGCTGGCTGGAGCAGCGCTGGTTGGAGTAGTGCTGTGGGGAAGTGGAATGCCCAGCTCCCCACCTTAGCTATGGTGGAGGAGTTCGGGTAGGAGGAGGAAGAAGGGACTAGGAGAAGGGAGCGCCAGGGGTACTTACCTGGCTATGGTGGACGCCATCTTTGTCACCTTGGTGAGCGCCGCATCTGGACGGCCCCATTGGGGATAGAACTACTCCAAGAAGCTTCGAGGCAGAGTCAGGCATGGCGGCCTGAGTAGAAGCAGCTGCAATGAGCCCAGACGTGATGATACTCGTCAACATTACCAATCCATATGATTATCAATCTGCTGATGAATGACAAACAATCGCAAATGTGAGATGATAGAATGAGGTGGGAATCTTACACAGACGAAGGAGGAGAGAGGGGGAATAGACAAAGGAGAGAGAAGAAGACAACAGCCCACTTCCGCTTCGGGTTCCTCCTTCTCCTCACCAACTCATCAATCAATAGTCCGAATACAATGTCTGAAGTTCCTCCTCAATGTGCCACGTGGCACGTCAATCTGTCTACATCAGCAACTGGAGAGTATCATCATCAACCAGGTACGTATCCTCGATAACCACAGTCTTGATCCCCTTCCGAAGTGATGAAGAATCAGAACAGCCTCTTCAATCATGTAGCCCGCCACGTCATCAACATATACAGGTGGCAGCGGCCACGTCAGCAATGGCGCATGGCAGCTGCCACGTCAGCATGCCCAGAAGACCATCGCCAGCCAGCCACTATGCCAGCCAGCAACGCCTTGCCGTCCTCCTCCTATGCCAGCCTAGAGCCAGCGTCAAGCCAATGTCGCAGCGTCACAGCGTCGCAGCGTCAATGTCAAAGTCAATGCGTGCAGCATTGACACAAGACCGAATGCCCCTCCAGCCAGGAAGTCAACTCTTAAGTAGCGTGGATGCGGGGTCTGGACCCCGGGTGCTGAAGTCCTGCACTGTTCAGATCTCGATGTGAATGAGGGCCCAGATTGGCCAGAAACTGTATTCCTCCCGCCCTGAATGCTGTCTGGGTACCTGCACACAACAAGCGAATGTATCCGACCATAGGCCTGGGCGCGGTACCTTTGACTCTACAGTTGACTTT